AAAAGAGTATGTTTTGTACTCTCGTGAAAATGATGAAAATAATAGATGACCCCTAAGTTAAATTATTTAAAGCTGAAAAATAAATGCGATCGTTAATATCGATCTTGGTTCAATGTAAACCTGTAATCATATGACTACTTATACAGAATTTTACTATATTATAGGCCTAGGCTAGGACCAGGCCTCGTACTATAGTATAGACGCCTAGTCCAAGACCTTGTTGCAAATCCCAACCCACATAAGCCTGGCCTATAATGCCAAGCATAGGGCTCGTGATCGCGGTACCCTGGCCATTAAAAATTAGCAGACGCACTGGGAAGCGTTGTTCACGGAATTGGACTGCAGCGAAAAATGATTCCCCCATCATTAATGGAACAGGCCCACGTCATGCTTGGCTAGTGCCATAAGCAGCAAAAGTCCATTTCTAGTGTTGTTGTCAAATGCATTTCAAACCAGCCTGGTTTTTGATTTACGTTTTGGAATAGAGTTTGGAGAGGGCGTTTGATTAATTCAGACCTAGGTTTTGAATTTGAATTACATTTTAGAGAAATTAGAACTACATTTTGGAAAATTTGAACTACGTTTTCAAAAATTAGAACTTCATTTTGGGAAACTAGATCTACATTTTGAGAAATTTACGCCTACGTTTTGATAAATCAGACATTGAATTTTGCAATTACATTTTGATTTTAACATGGACTTTTGCTACGTATGGCACCCCATATATACCATCCTAGCTAGTCTAGGCCTAGAGTAGGATAAGGCTAGCGCGACATGCGGACGTTGGTACGTGTTGGTTAGTCTACAAACGTCTCCTAAAGTAATTGATTTTACCCGGCAGAACGAAAGAAGGAAACTCAGCTTTTCAGTCGTCTTAGGCCCTTGTTTTTTGACAAACAGTGACCTTTCAGAGGTCAAATTGCTGTCAAGAATATGAATTGGCTGCTTCGCAGCAATAAAAACTACCTGTACCCCACGAAAAACTGTTCTTTTGTTCGAAGAAAAGAACGGAAGAGGTTCTTCAGAACAGTTCTTTCTCATCAGTAGAAACTGGCCCTATAATAGCGTTGATGTGAGTCTAAGCAGACAATGGTTGAGAGCTGTCCTTTCGAGTAGAGGTAAGGAAGAGATGACTTACCGGCTTGGAAGAGGTATGTAGAAAACTAGGACCACCTACGAAACCTCAGACCGTCGAAAACTGATACCCTACAAAAGCTAAGACCCCCAAATGCATAAATGCAAAAAACTACCAGATAATAATACCTTATTCTATATTTTATGTGATTTTCTAAATATATAAATAAATTGGCATAAATAAATAGTCCTAAATAAACAAACAAATAAATAAATATATAAATACATAAATAAGGAACAAACATGCAAGCATACAAACAAACAAATAAATAAACAAACAGACAGTAGTAATATGGCCTAGAGAGCCAGCTCGTCCGCGAAACAGCGATATCGTTGAAAACATACAAGCGGGCCTGATGTGCGGTGTTCGTGAAATTGCCGTCAGTGTAATCACATTTTAATTTGAACTCCTG